ATTTGAACATTCTACCAGAGAAGACATAAGCAAAAGGCAAGTCCGTGGAAAGAGACTCAGTATCATCTGTTATCAGGGAAACGCAAACTAAGTGAAATGAGCTACCATGTCACAGACACTCGCGTGACTGATGACATCAAGTGCTGGAGAGGATGGGACAGCAGCTGGGACTCCCATACGTTGTCGGTGAAAAGGCAATTGGCACAACCACTTCGAAGAACAATTTGATTCTTAGAAAGTTAAATATAATACTTATCATACTACCCAGCGATCCTGCTGGTATTTACCAAAAGAAAGGTATTTTCCCAAGTCCACCTGAGACTTGTATACAGTTGTCCACAGCAGCTCTGTTCGTAATAGTAAAGAGCTGGAAACCACCCAAATGTCCATCGGCTGGTGAATGGTAGACACATTGTGAAACAGCTCTAATCATGGAATACTACTCAGCAAGGAAAAAGAATAAAGGACCTGGATGAATCTCAAGAGCAGTATGCCGAGTGAAAGACTCAAAAGACCACACACTGTGTGATTAAGCTTCTGTGAAGTTCCAGAAGAGGCAAAACTATAGTGAAAGAAAGCAGATCGTTGGTCTCTTGGGGTTGCAGGTGGGAGGAGAGAGCAGAAGAAAAATTTGGGGGGTGAGAATGAAGATCCTCTATATTTTCACTGTGCTAGTGTTTACATGACTGTATGCATTTTTCAAGACTTGCTGAACTGATTTACTTAAAATAGGCTATTTTTATTGTCTTGAATTATACCTCAATAAAGCTCATTAAAAAAAAACAACCTTAACGTATAACCATCACCATTATCAGTATTTCTATTGTGAAGACAGTGAACTTATCAATGGTTCTGCAACTGAACTGTGTTGTCCCCTGAAATTCGTATGTGGAAACCCTACCTACCCTCAGTGTGATAACTGTATTTGGAGATGGGGCTTTATGGACATAATTAAGCTAAAGTGAGATCATAACCAGAGGACCCTGATCTGATAGGATTCGTGTCCTTCTACGAAGAGGAAGAGACAAGAGCTCTCCTCTCTCCAGGTGGACGGAAGTCCTCCATGTGAAGACACAGGGAGAGGCCGCCATCTTCAAGCCAGGAGACAGCTGTTGTTAACCCCCGGGTGTATCCTCAAATTCAGAATCTCTGCTTCGAGAGCCCCTATCAGTGAAGTCAGCCTGATATCACTTTATAAGTTTAGCAACTTCCAATAGTTAGTGAGATCGGTCTCTTGACATTAAGCTCTGCAGAGCACATAGATGCCCAGTCTTTGCTGCCTGAGGTGCCCCACAGGGGGCAGGGGAAGGCTGCAGAATTCTGTTCCCATGTTGGCCAGTAGAGGGCACTGGAGGACAGGCAGCCAAGTGAGCATCCTTGGTCCTGGGAGGAAAACACCTTCGATTCATCAGCCCTGTGTCCTAAATGGACGAATAGAAGGGTCCTTGCTTCCTCGAAGCCACGTTTCTGACTGTGCGAAATTAAGGTTGAGCGCTTAAGTGCCGAGCTCTCTTCGGATCACAGAGTATAAATATGGGAGTTGCCACCCACAGGCCCTGGTGGAAACCTGATCACCCAGCCCTGGGGCCATGGCATCAACAAACCACGTCTGGGCTGCCGGGGAGGCCTGGCTGGGCTGGCGCAGGGATCGGGCACTTTCGGGGGCCACGGAGTGACTTCTCTGTTCCCCGTCCATCAGGGGTGCGGGAAGCTGAGGAAACTCCCAGGGTGCACTGGGACCTCCCACCACTGTCTCACAAACGCAGACAAGTCTAGGGAAGGGGCAGAGGGCTGACAGAGTCCCATTTTGTGGGAACACCGCCAGCCAGGACAGAACCCCGGGGCTTTCCTGATGAGGGGGTGGTGTCCGTATTCCAGCCTGCGAGAGGGACCGCTGCCCACTAGGACCTCAGCATTAGCGAGGGCCACAGAAGGACCCTGGGGAGGGACTTTGCAGAGCAGTGGCTTCCTGAGAGCAGTTGGGATCCTGGAGGGGCTGATGGGCCCTGAGACAAATGAGACCATATTGTCATCCTGGTTAGTGGGGTCTGGACTAGAGGGAAGTGTATTTAGTAACAATGATGATAACTAGCATTATGTTATTATTAAGCACTTGCTATGTGCCTGACGCTGTTCTAAGCACATCTCATGAATGAACTCATGAATCCTGTCAAAAACCTATAGGGAACGGTGCTATCAACACCCTCACTTTGCACATAAGTAAAACGAGGCACAGAACATCTGAGTAACTTGCCCAAGGTCACAGAGCCAGGAAGTGACTGATACAGAAGCTGTCGTACAGCATAAGTGCAATGTGTCTCTATTATTGCTACCCCCTGATTCCATGGGGTCCCACTGAGGTTCAGATGGGGCTGTGGCCCTTTCTCCTCCTCCTTTAGACAAAGGGGTGTCAACAGAGGGGCTGGTCCTCCGAACCCGAAGCAACAGTCAGGGGTATTCATGTGCATGTACCCCATCTCCAGAACACATATGGCGAATATATGCTACCTACAGTGAGTACCCAGTAGCTCCTCATTGCTCATGGACTCCCTATTTGCAAATTGACCTACTCGCTCAAATTGACTTGCGACTCCAAAGTTAAGACGCCAGGCGTTCTGAGGTCACCAGCCGACGCGCAGGGTGGTGAGAACGCATGGTCCGACAAGTGACCCTCTGCCTCCTGTTTCCCCGCTCGGACTGGGGGCTCGCGTCTCTTCATGGCCTTTTCCGTATCTCCTTTTTTGGCATTTTTGTGCTTTCTGAGAGTGATTTTGCTATTTAGATGGTCCCCAAGCAGAGTGTCTAGTGTCCTAAGGGCAAGAAGGCTGTGGGGTTTCTTGTAGAGAAGACAGGGGTGTGGGACCAGCTTCTGTCGGGAGTGAGTTGGGGTGCTGTTGGCTGTGAGCTCAGTGTCAGTGGGTCAGCAAGAAGCATCAAGTAAGTTTTCTGCAAACAGAAACCCACATCGAGCACCGCGACGTGCTGATGGGCGGGTGAAATCGGTCAGGACACTCTCAGGGACCTGGCCTGTGTCTCCCCCCGTCGCAGTGGCTCAGTCTTTGCTAATCCAGGTCCGGTGACCTCCCAGAACATAACCACCTGAAGACCGAGAACCGATTCTGCGCGTGCAGTACAGTGACTGCAGTGAATGGGATGAGCAGCGCAGCCCTCAGCCACCCGGGGCGCGGCCGGCCTGCCCTGGCCGCGTGTGCCAGGGGCTTCACCACGGACCCAGGGCCCTGCTTGGGGGGGACAAGCGCAGCAGACCGTCTCCTCCGCCCAGATTCTCCCGGAAGGTGCTCCGTTGAGTGGGGCCCACAAGGCACCGAACGGCTCAGAAACATTTGTTTTAATTCCCACCACAAGCAGCTAGGGACGTAAGTGTTACCTCCACTTTACAAACAACACCTGAAAATCCGAGAGCTAAGAGAAGCTCCCAACATCGCCCCCTGGGACGCCAGCCCACATGCGCACGCTGACGTCCACCCTGCCAGCACGCTGGCCAGTGCCCGCTCCTGTGACCGCTTCTCAAGCCCCTTCATTGCCTGCCCACGGAGCAGGGCCTGCAGGCTGCTCAGGAGCCAGGAGACCAGGACGGTGGGCGTGAGGGGCCTTCCCTTCCCCCTGCTCCCGGCAACATGATCCATGGTGGACCCTCCTCCGCTGTCAGCTGTGTGACTGCGAGAGCCCGGTGGCTGCGGGTGCCTCTGGAGGGACAGGCAATGGAGGACAAGGACAGCAGAGGCTGGTGGAGGAGACCAGAAACACCTCATCATAGGAGGAAAAGGAGGGAGGGGCGAGACACAGAAAGACAGAAAAGGACAAAGAAAGGTGTGTTTTTCTGATGGGAGAGGGTTTAAATGTCACCCACCATTGCTCCAGGGTCAACGAGGACCCTCTGGTGGCCCACTTAACAGAGGAGAAGGGGACAGCGCAATCCAAGCCACCCTGGGATGCCATCAATGAACGGTCATCAGTGGCTTTGGAGCAAGTAGGAATTCCAATGTCGGAAACAGACGAAAACATCCTAAAACATCCTGAGGACCCCCAAGCTCAGAGCCGAGGCACTGAGATCTCTTAAGACTCCACAGTCGATCATCGGAAAGGTGAGGAAGGACTCTGCCTGGAAATGAGGGTGTTCATGGTCACAGAGAGTCCTGGGGGTGGGGTGGGGGTGGGGCCCACCTTCACTGTGGGCACCCAGAGTCCCTGCCAAGGGCCCACCTCAGCCTGAGAACCAGAGGTCTGTGGACCAGAAAATGCCCACGGGTGGACTGGGAGCTCCCCCAATCCCAGAGGCAGGACAGCCATTCGCCAGTCCTGGGAGCGGAACCCCCAGACTCTGGATCCGGGGGTGTTGGTAGGAATAATTCCCACGGCCCCTGGAGAGTGACTTGGCTTTGCCTGGGGTGTGGCCGGCCTGGCTGCTCAGGAAGATGGGAACTACGCTGTGCGGACAACGTGAGAGGGACCGGCACCCTAGGGTGCCCGCGCCTGTCTCCAAGGGCATTTGTCTTGAGTGTCCTGAGACCCCGCGCTCCCAGCAGCCGTCCATTTACCGAGTGTGCACTGAGCAGGATAAAGACCTGACAGCGGCTGGCGGCCGTGTGTGGCCTCCCTTCTAAAAACACGAGTCCCGAGAGGTGACGGGGGTCAAGTGCCTTCCGTGAAGAAACACTTTTCAGAATGCCCACCTTCCAAGGCAAAGTCGGTGTCCCTGGTCCCTCCCCACCCAGGAGAGCGGGGCCTTGGATGTCCGAGGAGACAGGACGACTCTGCTGAGCCAGTGGGCCCCGGCTGGCGGAGTCAGGAGCAGGGAGAAGCTGCACCTGGAGTGCCAGCGCCCCTCCCGATGCCACAAATACCTGTCCCGAACCACCTTCGCCCAGGAGGAGCCTGGGTGAGAGCAGAGGAGGGGAAACAAGGGGAACTGCTGGGGCCTCCGTCTCTCCCTCCCCCCCTCCCAGCGACCCGCAGGGGCAAAGGGCGGGTCCGGGCACTCAGTCCAGAAGCAGGTGGTCCCGGATGCCTTGGGTGACACTGAAGGGGTTTCGTAACCACATTCTGAAGTTACATGTTACTGCAGGAGGTGGTAGGACTAAAGCCATGTGAGTGCGTGGACAGATGACCGGCGCAGGAGCTGGAAAGTGAGGGGGATTCTGAAATTCTCTGAGTGCACTTCACTGCTGCTAGACCCGCCGCACACAAGGGAGGAGTCGCTGCTCTTACGGGAACGAAAGGGGGGTTCACACCACACACACACACACACACACACACACACACACACCTCCACTCCATGCCAATGACGCCAAAATACAGTTTAGCAGATGGTAAGGTTTTCTTTATTTGAAGACTCTGAGTGTTAAGCCATTGAACAGGCTAGAAAGCGATGAGCAAACCCAGGGATTCCGGAAACAAGGAGTACGAAACCGATAGCCTGGCGAGAATTCCTGTTTTGTCCCAGAACGTCCAGGAGCGGGGGGCCCTCTGAAGCCACGCCTCTTAATAGTGACAGTCTAGGAAAGGAAAACGCCAGACGGTGGGCAGGAGGGCGGGAAGCCAGGGGCCTGAGCTCCTGGGGCTACGGGCCCCGTGACCACAGACCCCTTGCCCCGCTGTGTCCAAAGAAAGAGTGCCCCTCCTGGGACAAACGCCCAGGCCTGGGGGGTCCTTATGTAATGGGCCATTTTCCAGGTGGTCCCCTGGATCCCACTTGGACATTCCTGAAATGACCCTGTGCTCTTCAGGGATCAGTGCCCTGCCCCTGTGTTGTGGAAATGCTTGCTTCTCCCTTCTCTTGCCAAACTCAGTGTCAGGACACACACTGGGATGGAGGGGTGGGGGGGGGACTGGACCCCCCTGGACTGGCTCTGAGGCCGAGGCTGTGGGCAGAGCCTGTCATGCTTGGTCACATGTGAGAGGACAGCAAGGTCCAGAAGGCAAGGGGGTTTGTTCTGGGCCCCGTCCCCGGTACCCAACACAGTGACAGCATTTGGTAGCATCTAAAAGGGGTGACCGAGGGGCAGTGAAATGGGCAAGCCCCCCCCCCCCGAAGTGGGCCAGGGTCCAGGGGCGTGGCTGGAAGTGCTTTTAAACCATCAGGACACCTGATGGTGTGTGGCTTTAAGTTTCTCTAAGGAAGCTGTCACTGTTGCGAACATTCTGGAATTGCCTTCCAAGCTCACCCATCAGGGTACTTGTTTCCGCAATGGCCACCCCTGGGCTCAGGAGCTTTGGCCTCAGTGGCATTCAGGCGTGGGGTCCAGTGTAGGACCCTCCCCTCCCAGCTCCACGTCTCCCCTCCCCCTGTGTCCAGGACCCAGAGGGCAGCTTGTCCGCAGTGACACTACCTTGCACAGGTTTGGGGTGGAAGCACCAGGGCACTTCGGGGACGACGTCGGAGAAGCAGCACTTTTTAGATGCGCAGTCCTTCGGGCTGATGCCCGGGTAGCCACAGTTCACGCGGGCCGAGACTTCCATGACACACTCCTGATTTTCTGGTTGCCGTCGCCGGGTTCGGGAGAGAAACACGGAGACTCAGTTAGGCCCGCTTGGGTAACCAGAGACTTCCCTGCCCGTCCTCCCCGGGGAGCACCGCCGGATTCACAGCTGACAGGTGTCACCAGGAGCTTCTGGGGCTGGAGCACCCAAGGACTGTCTGTGCTGGTGCCCGCGGCTGGCCACCCCTTCCGCCCACAGGGGCCAGGAGTCAGATCTCAAGTGCTGGGGCCTCAGGGAAGTCACCCTCTCTGGACTCGCTGTTCCCCTCTGCACCATGGGGGCCCAGCAGCACTTGCCCTCCAGGGGGGGCCCGGCCCACAGCCCCTCAGAGCCTGGAGCTTCCGAGTCAGTCCCCGGGACTGTGGCCATGGGGACCGAGATCCAGACACTGTGTGGGCAGAGCCTGTCATGCATGGTCACATGTGAGAGGACAGTACGCTTTGCACACACAGCTTTCTTTTGTGTGTGCCTTGCACGGACATGAAACCCACTGTCAGCAGACAGACAGAAGTCTTCGTGTCTTCACGTGTGAGGTCTGTGAGCAGTCACGTCAATAACTCCTGTGAAGTGTCTCCTTCCCCCGGCAGCTCCTTCAGGGTCCCGCTTTTACAAGTAGGAGGGGCTGAGAGTTGTCTTGTCTTCAAATATGGGAAAACAGGTTCTGTACCCACGTGGGCTCCCACATGTGTCTGCCCAAAGGGACCAAGGGCTGGCGCTGGGGGCTCCAGATGTGGGCATGAGGTGAGGGGGTTTTCTCTTCCCTTTGGTGGCCCTGGGCAGCTGTCCCCAAGCACCGTTAGCTGGGTCCTGGGCTGCCGGCCAAGGGCGCACCAGGGGGATTCAGCTGTCCTGCAAGTTACCTTCCTTCGGGAGGGGTTGGAAGCACCAGGGGACCCCCGGGACGTTGGAGTCGAAGCAGCACCCCACTGCAAAGCACTGGTTACTGGTGATGCCGGGGAAGCCACAGTTCTTCCTGTTCTCGGGGTTCATCCGGGAGCACTGGCAGGGGGCTGTGGAGAGACCCAGGGTCACCCCTCCTCGCTCCTCCTGCTCTTGGGGGCACGCCCGGGACACCATCGGCGTTCACGCAGGGATGCAAAGTCTTATCTCACCCATGTTTGACAGGGCTCTGCTGAAATTGTTTTATTTGTTAAAAAATAGATAAAAGAACCTTCTGGAAAGAGGTGGGCAGATGGACCCGGGTAGAGGTCAAGATGAAAGGCGATCAAAGCCAGACTCCAAGGGGTCCCTGGTGGGGCCTCCTGCCCAGTCCCTGTCCTCAAGCTGGCCCCCAGCACCTGTGGTCATCCCGCCCTTGGCCGGGGGAGGCCTTGCTCAGTGGTCCCACGGAGCCCAGGTGTCCTCCCTGAGCAGCAGGAGAGCCCCTGTGAACGGACACGGGGCTGGCCGTGTGGCCAACACTGCATGTCTCAGGTGCCTTTCCAGTGGCCTCCTCCCTCAGGTTAGCTCATCATCTTCCCTTTTCTCCCACGAGAAACAAATGAGAGCAAAGACCCTCCGAGGGGAACTTACATACCCCAGTGTATTTGGGGCCCAGACACTGCACCACGGAGGGTCCCTCCGGGGTCACTTACAAGGTTTCTCGGCCCCCGCCATGGCACACAGACCCAGGACGAGGACCGCTGACAGGAGCCGGGTGTCTGCCATGTCCACGCTCAGCTGCGCCCAGGGCCGCCTGCAGAATGCTGGACTCCCTCTGCCAGCGGCTTTTATCATCTTCCCTCTGTTTGCTCAGCAAGCGGAAATAACCTTTCCCTCTCGCCCCTGGCCCCAGCACTTCGACTCCTTTGTTAGGAAAAGGGGCTGAGGTAGCTCGGCCAGACAGAGGGCCACGCAGGCGAGACTTCCGGGCCAGGTGTCACGCTCTGGGCACCAGCGAGGCCTCCCCTGCCCAGGCTGGGAGCCGAGTCACTCCAGGATGCCGACGTGGAAAGCTGGCCACAGGCACGCCGGAGCTGGGCACGCTCAGGCTCACACCCAGGAAGGGATAAGCCATGTTTCTCCAGATAAAGTAGGTGGCTATCACAGGAATTTTTAAAAAATGTTGGGCCCAAGGCCATTGGGGAAAATGACCAGGCCAGCTGTTAGCAGAGAGAAGACCCGCTCCTTCGGGAATGGGAGGATCTCCAAGGAGAGCAGGACACCCCTCCCCCACGGTGCACAGTTAGGGCTCTCGTGACCCTTTGCAAGTGTCTCCTTTCTCCATCCCGGGGTGGGGCCGCTCCCCACGAGGATCTCTCCGGTCAGGGGAAGGGAGAAGCCTGGATGAGTGCAAAAATAAGTTCATTTAAGCAACCCTCCAAAATTCCTCATTTTATCTTCTATGGGAGCTCTGCATTTCCAAAAAGATGGCACCTATAAACTGGCTATGCCCAGGGGTAAGATGCTCTGGGCACGGGAGCCTGTGGATGGGACGCAGAGAGGAGAGAAGCCAGAGGGGAGACCCCAACAGAAATAGAGGAAAAACGTGGTGAGGAGGCCAAGGGGGCATCACTACATTCCCCACCACCACAGGAATTACAAGAAGTCACCTTTGCAAACCGTCGGTTGAGCAACCAGGGACTCAAAGGTGCATGGAATCCAAAACCCTGGGTCCGCAGGTCCAGGAGGCCTCGTGCTCCAGGGCTTCTGTGGGTCCAGCTACAACATCTCCAGACTAGATACTTGACTATCCACCGCTGTGCAACCAATGGGACCCCATCTTTGAAAACCTCGCAAAATCAACTTTCGCTGCCCCATGTCCCTGTCACCCTTTGTCACCACCAAGACATAAGACCCTGCGTCATCTGTTCTCTCCTGGCTTCTCATCCCCTCTGTTCTCTCTGCTTCCTCTCCCTGGACCTGGCTTCTCATTGGCCCTTCTGGGGTTCCAGCTGAAACCACCTGGTCTATACCAAAAACACAGCTCATCATCCTCAACCCCCGAGTCGCTCACCCTTCCCTGGCCCTAAAGGAAGCCTGTGTCTTCCCTAAGATGTTCCCTTGCGCCCGTTTCAGGCAGAGGTGCTCAGCACCCTCACCGCCAGGGCACCGCCCACCCATACGGTGCTTTTGTGCAAATTAGAATAAGGCACATTTCTTCAAGACAAGTTACTCCGCCTGTGGGGAAGTCACTCAGGTAGACATGACAGCTGCAGTGTGGGTGGCACCCTGTGAACCTGTGGCTGTGCACACAGCACGACATCGACAACTGTGTTGTCTGTTCTTGCTCCATTGCAGGGTCACAGGAAGGGGGCTGGACCTTGAGCCCCAACACCTCTTTCCTCACACAGAAACCAAGCTCCTTGGAGATGTCGGCTACGAACCACTTTTAGTGCCTTGCCCTCTGTCATCTGCAGACCGTCACCCCGTCTCCTTTCTAGAAAATTTTTACAATAAGTCTTAGAAGAATACATTTAGCCCTGGCCATTTTGGCTCAGCAGTTAGAGCACTGGCCTAAGGACCAAAGAGTCGTGGATTTGATTTCCAGTCCAGGGCACATACCTTGTTTGTAGGTTTGATTCCCAGCTCTGATCAGGGCCGTATGGAAGGCAACCAATCGATGTATCTCTCTCACATTGATGTTTCTCTCTTTCTCTTCCTCCCGCCCTTCCTCCCTCCCTCCCACTTTATCTAAAAAGAAAAGAAAAAAAAAGTCAATGGAGGAATATCCTTGGGTGAGGATTAAGAGAAAAAATAATAAATTTAATCTACAAGTAAATCAACTGCCTAACAGAATGAAACTTAGCATTTGTTAAGGAGAACAACAAAATCCAGACACACAAAACCCAAATTTACTTGTGATGTGAAGAAGCATGACCCATCATCATAAGAAAAAGCAGTGAATAAAAACAGACCCAGATTCTGTATTAACTGTTTGAATAATTAAAGAGAAGCATAAAAATATAATGAAATAACAAATTTTAAAATTTGAATAAAGAAATAGAAACTGAAAAGGAACCAAGTAGACATTCTAGACTTGAAAAAATATATATCTGAAGTGAAAAATTCACTGTGTGGGCTTTAGATTAGATATTGCAGAAGAAAAGGCTGGTTTACTTGAAGCCAGTGCAGTACATACTCTCCAAACTAAAGTATACAGAGAAAAAGTACTAATAAAAAGTTGAACATAACCTCAGTGGCCTGTGAGATAATGTCAACCAGTCTAACATACATATAATCAGTGTAGCATTGGGAGAAGAGAAAAAAAAGTACTGAAGAAATAATGACCAAAAAATTTTTGTAAACTTAATGAAAAATATAAACTCATATATTCTAGAAGCTCAATGAACTCTGAATAAGATAAATGTAAATAAAACTACATCAAGGCACAGCATAATCAACTTGCTGAAAATAAGTAATTAAAAAATATTTTTACAGCAACTGGAAGAAAGACACACTGCATACAGAGGAGCAAAATAAGAATTACAGTGACTTCTCCTCTGAAACAATGCAAACCAGAAGGCAATGGAATGGCAATTCTAAAGTGTTAAAAGGAAAGAAAAACCCAGTCAAGTCAGAATTCTATACTCGGTGAAAATATCCTTTGAAAATAAAGGCAAATACCTTTTTTAAAAAAGTAGATTTTACTTTTTAGAGAAATTCTAGGTTCAAAGCAGAATTGAGTAGAGATTTCAATACTTTTTTAAGACAAACCAAAGCTGAGCGAACCTGTCACTTGCAAACCTGATCTCCAAGGAATTTAGAAGGAAGCTCTTGAGGCTGAAGCTGTGGTGGTCCCTTAGTGCAGGGCATCATTCTCCAGGTTGCTGCAGCCAGGCCTCACTCACCTGGATTTATCCAGTTCTGACACCTGTTTGACCTCTGTAAGCTTTTGCCTTACAACCCACTCTAGTGCTCATGACTTCTCACTTTGTTTGCTATGACTGTCTTTCTAACTCATCTCTCAGTCACAAACAGTTTTGTCCCCAACCAGACAGAAGTCGAGTGCCTCAATTGCCTTTGTAAAGTGAAAATCTGTATGTCACTCCCTTGCTTCTCATAGCCTGTAAGGTAAAGACCAGGTATGAGTTTCCTGAGTGTGAAAAGTGAGACCCCTTTATGAGCTTGACCCACATACCCCTCCAGCCTCTTCTATTGCTAGGGCTCCCTCACAATGTGGGCAGGCCACACCTCCCTGTGCACACCTGACCTCTGAGTCTCTGCTTGTGTGTCCTCGTCTCTCCTGGTGCCCCCTTCACGCCTCACCTTGCTAACTCCTTTCTGCGCTTGTGTGTCACTGAGGCCTCGCTCTTCCAGGAAGACTTCCTGGACCCCCTCAGAGAGGAAACAGGTACCTTCACCCCTCTCCCAAGCACCCTCTGTTCACCCGACTCAAAACATTAGCCACACCCACATTTTAAGTCGATTTTTACTTTTCTGGTTCTTTTACTAATTGTACCAAAGATAACAGCTAACACGTTCTGCAGGCTACCTGGGTGCCAGGTGATCGCCGAAGGAGTTCACCTGCTGGATTGTGTTAGATTCTCGCAGTAACTCACGGGAAGGGCTAATGCGAGTGTCCCCATGTTGTGGTCCACACAGGTAAGAGAGCTCGCTCAGGTATCAGCGAGGGCAGGGTGAGACCCAGAACCCGGCCCAGTGTGTACACACCATGGACTTCCTTGATGAGGGGAGTGGGGCACCCCAGGAGCTGAGGAACGGGAACTTCCCACCTAGTGTTGCCCACTACCCAAATTACCTTTTAAACTGGTAACATAATATCTAGATATAGATATATGCACATTAGTATGGCAAGTCTTTCCACGTCTCTGAATTACAGTGTTCTCCCTTGTAAAGGGAGGAGGGATGAGGGCTTATTCAGTGTTCTTCAAAGTCTCAAATGCTTCCTAAAGCCTGAGTAGGATAATATTTCATTTTTTACACTATCATCAATCAGGGAAAAACTATTTTTATTACTAACATTTACATGCCTAGTGCCCCTAACTTAGGATAGGGGTAGAGAGGTTAAACAGTATATAATTTAATTTCCTCCCCAGCATTCCAGGTTTCTGGAGTTTGGTTGTGCTGATCAAAGGAGTGGGTAAATAATAGAGTCTTTGAAAGCCCAGGACTAAATTTATCTACTTAATAAAGAAGCTAGGAGAGCCCTGGCCGGTTTGGCTCAGCGGTTAGAGCGTCGGCCTGCGGTCCGGAGAAACCCGGGTTCGGTTCCCGCTAAGGGCATATACCTCGGTTGCAGTTTGTCCCCGGCCCTGGTTGGTCGTGTGGGTGGCAGCCACTCGATGTGTCCCTTTCACGTCGATGTTTCTTTCTCTCTCTCTTCCTCTCTCTCCCTCCCACTCTATCTGTGCAAAAAATGGAAAAATGTCCTCGGGTGAGGATTAAAAAAAAAAAAGAAGAAGCTAGGAGAAGACATAAACAGATGAAAGAATGCTGATGAGGATTTTGATACAGAGTTTGGGAGAGAATGAAATTCAAGATTTCTTGATGCATTATACTTGGAAATATAATTGGGTAGAGATAACTCTTAGCACATTTTTCAGTGTGTTGTGCAATGTGATTCCTCCTTCTACCTCTTTGAAAGACATTATTCAAGATGCACATTACTGGTGTCTCTTGGATATCTGAGTGGGTGCTTTATTTGGTTTTATTTTACACTATGCGGAGATAAGCCACAATCTAGTGGATCTTTTTTTTTTTAATTT